AGATACTTAATCATTTTCTTATAAGAAAGCACAATATTATAGTATGCAATAAAAATTACCCACAGTGCTACTTTGTTTAATAAAGAAAATCTGTAAATCTTTAGTGATTCATTCTTGTATAATTATTCTTTTGGTATTTCTTGTATACTTATCAACTTGTCAAAGTATATCTTTTCTTAACTAGTATGTTTTCCCCAAATTTGCTCTTACTATTCTAATAGGCTCTACTAATTTTGCAGATAAAAGGACTTATGTTAGATATGTGTTTTCTACATCTATAAGTGAAACAGCATTTTGGTAGATTAGAAAATTACGTAAACCCTTTAGTCAGTCAATTTGACTTACTATGTAATTATATTATAGACGATAGACTTGAACTATATGATAAATTTGAGAGAAAAAGAACAAATAATCTAAAACTCACTTGAAAGGCAGCAGCCTGATACGTTCTATGTTTTTATGTATTAATATATTAGCAAAATGTCTCCGAAAGCCATTTCCAATATCTAATAACTAATCGATATTCATTTACTCAAAATTTCAACAGTTATTTATTGAAACCCTAACCCCTACTCAAGGCCAGACGGAATTCTGGCATTGGATAAAGGGATGGATAAAGGGTAACAACAGGATAAAGGATAAAGGGTGGCAACAGAATAGACATAGTCGCTCCCATCAGAGAAAGCGCGGGCCAGTGGAAAACGCTGACAATGAACTGAAGAGGTATAGAGCTAGAAACTGGATGGATAAAAGAGAGAGCACAAAGTGGTGATGGAGATGAAGGTGGTGAGTGCTTCGATTGGGAAATCAGAGGAGACTGCTTTGAAAAATTGCATTTAAAGGGATAATTAAAAAAATACAAAAGAAGCTTTTTTGCAAAGATTGGGGGAAAGAGTGCCTTAGCAAAAAGGAAGTGTGATTCTTGGAGGGGCAGATGAAAGATTTCTGACCTTCATACATCACCACAACCAATTCACTATTCACACAACGGCCAGAGCAATCGTCGTTTAAAACAAGTGGAGGCATATTCAGAGCACTGTTCTTTGTGCCTTGCTATCTTCCCCTGGCAGTGCATCTTAGAAATTGTGCCTTATCAGTACACATACATCTGCCTCGTCTTTTTAATGGCTGTCAGGGCTTCCATTGTATGGACTGCTCTAATTTATTACTAAGTTTCTTACCAATAAATATTTTTTCCCAGTTTTTGGCTGATACAAACAATGCTGCAATAAACAGTTTTTA